CATTAAAACTTAATTTCATATAATTTAATTATATCATAATTTATAATACTTTAATAATTAAAAAAAATTTTAAATTTAAAAAATAAATAACTAATTATCAAAATAATTTCTAATCATAACTACAATATTATAGTTACAGTTACATTATTTCACAGCAATACCAAACGCATCATTAATGTTTCTCAAGCTCCTAACCAGCTTGTCTTGTCTGGTGCGGCTTGTCATCCATTTTCTTCGGTTTCTTTGTTTCTTCACTCACTTCCACTTCTCTCCTCATTTCATCTAATAATTATCCTCCATTTTTTTTTTCGTTGTAAATCCTCTAATTTTTCCCTCTCCTCCTATCTCAGACATACGCCTTTTGTAATTTCTTCCTCTAATGTGATTCTTTATTCCCTTAAATTTTTTGGTTGATTTTTTCCTTTTCCTCTAATTAGAACTAGTGCAGACGTAGCATTATTTTGCTCTCCGGAACTTCTTTTCACTACAAGAAAATTCATATTTAGTGATTAAATTATTGATCATAAAATTTTTATTTTTCGTCGTAAATTATTGTTAGTGATAAAATTTAAACAATTAGTAAAACCATTATCATTAATAATTTTAGTGACAAATTAGGTATCTATTACAAAAAATAATTTTATAATGATAGAAAAAATTGACATTATTAACAAGTTATTTATAATAATTATGTTCGTCACAAAAAAATATTCTCACAAATGCAATTATGATATAAAATTTAGTCATTAATTTTTAAAATTGATATTAAATAAAAAAGATATTTATATAATTACAACACAAATATTTTAACAAAAATTTTGTCACAAACAAATAATATATAAATTTATCACAAAAGTTTAATAGAAAATATTATTATTTCAATACTAATCAATTTTGATTAAAATTAATCAAACCCGATTAAAATTAATTAATTTTGATTAAAATTAATCAGGCCCAAACTAATTTCAAGTTTTATTGAGTTTCACATATTTTATAGTGCAAAAATCTATTTTCTTAAATATTTCTTATTGATGTGGGATATATTTATAATGCAAAACCTTATTCTCTTATGTGTTTTTTTATCGATGTAAGATGCATTGATAAAAGAAAATTGACAGTTTTTAATAACAAAATATATTTTTTAGTGATAAATTATTTGGTCATTATTAAATGTGTAAGGTATATGTGACCAATATTAGAATTTTGTCATAATTGTAATGTATTATAGTGATGATTTTTATTGACAAAAGTTTATTTTATCTTTATGAACATTTTTTGGTAACAAAATATATTTTTTATGATGAATTTTTTGTTCATCATTAAATATGTATGTATCGGTAACTAATTTTTTAAATCTGTCACAATTATAATAAATTATAATGATAATTTTAAAATTTACCACAAATTTTTATTATTAAAAATTATTTTTCTTGTAGTGATATATATATATATATATATACCCCTTTAAGCAAACAACATACATATCCCTTCAGCTTCAGGCGTTTCCTCGTTCGAACGCTGCGAGGGCAGGTCATCAACAGCTGCATCATTTATGCACATTCACGGTTCAGTTGGCGCCACTTATATTTAATAAGATACTGAATTATCGACAAGGAATCGACCGATCAATAGTGGAGTCGAACGTCCGATCGTAAGATTGCGATACGAGATTTAGTAATATTATTTAGGCATCTTGAGAGTCCAGACAATTCATCGTGGGGGCGGTACGTCCCTCGTAAATGACGAATCACATGAAGTGACGGATCTTGTAAATTTTATTTTATTTTATTTTATTTTGAACAATTTGTTAATAAACAGACTCGAAATCGTAAAAAAATAAAAAACATTTTAAGTTGGTAAGATATCAGTTATTTCGAAGGATCAGGTACTGTAAATTTTATTTTTTAAACAAATAACAAAGTTATTTTATCATATTAACTTAAGTGAAAAAAAGGTTAATTCTCTTTACGAAAGGAGTTTAATTTTTTTTTCTCCCATGGTCTCAGGGGTTAGGGTTTGGAGGCAGCGGGCTTTCCCTTGGGTGTTCTCTCCAATATAGTTAATAAATAATAAAGTTATTTTCTTGTAATTTATTATTTAAAAAAATGTAT